GTCTTTGTAAATAGGGAAGGGGGGAGGGGGTGAAGGGAGGGCTAGGGAAAAAAAAAGAAGGAAGAAACAACTATAAAATTTTTTTAAATGATTGATCCCAACGATTCAGACACAGGGACAGATGCAGCCCCAGGGAGCACCTGATGCCTGGGTTTTGTTAGAGTGATAGCAATGCCTTGGAGTATTGATTTTTAAAATTAAGCCTATGTCTTGCCTTGATTAATGCTTTTTAACCCAGGAATGTTGTGGATAGTTATTTCTCTTTCTTTTTTAACAGCACAAAGACAGGAGGAGACTTTGCTAAACAACTACATTTCTCATGTTACATGAGACTTTTCAAGATATGTTGAAAACATGGTAAAGGGCTGACACGTTCGTTCTGCTTTATTAGAATACTAGTATGTTCAGTCACATTGAAGTTATCATGAAATCCACAGTTATTAAAATTACTTATTCGAGGCCACTGTTTTAAAATTTTAGTCACTATATATATGGGGGTGTGTGTGTGCGCATGCGTGTGTGGGGTGGAGGGCAAACAATATAGAACTCTGGAACCAACCCCTATGTAATGGTGGGGAAATCACTGAGGGAAACTGTTTCCTCATTCATGAAGTGAAGCCTGGATTCAGCTTTTTAAGGATGAGTGGACACATGGGAGAGTGGAAATGACAAAAGAGAAACAGGTAAAGAGACATTTAAAACATTTAAAATATATAACCAGTAGATAGTGATTAGGTATGTATGTGCAGCTGGTTAATTTAAAATGGAAAAATCCCATTCTTTGGGATTCATTGACCTCAAAAGGTAATTTTTACTGTGTAACATGAAGAAGAAAACTATAATTAAGTGTAGTACCTACATACATAGTCCTGTTTTTTTTTCTTTTTTGTTTTTTTTAGGCAGGGTCTCCCTTTGTAGTTCAGGCTGGCCCTGAACTCGCTATGTAGCCCAGGCTGGCCTCGAACTTTCAGCAATCCTCGTGCCTCAGCCTCGCAAGTGCTGGGATTACAGGAGTGCACCAACACACCCAGCTAGTCCTGTTTCTTAATTAGATGCTCCTGGTGATGATTGTACAATAAAGAAAAACCATGTGGTCTATCACAGTTTAAATCCATGACCTGGATAGAGAATTCAGTAGAAAAAACAGTGGAGAAATTTTTAAATCTATAAAATACTGTTCTTTTCCTTAAAGAAATTTTAAATTCTCCTTTAAAAAGCCTCAACAATTTCCTCCCACATTTTCCCAGGCAGCTGTTGATAGATCAAAGTATATTCCATTTTGTGAAATTGTCTGGAATATTTAACCTGGGATCTGCAAGCCCCTTCCTAAAGTCTATAAATAAATTTTCATGATTCAGCTTAGGTAATTCTAAGTTTTTCTAAGGGAAGCAGTCCGTAGACTCAGCTGGATGTTTCTGGAGTTAACTTGGAGCCCTTCTCTGAATATGATTAAGCAGTCTAATACTCTGCCTTTATGCTCTTTGAACTCCATGAGGTTACTGTGGCTTTTATGTTTGAGCAGGAGAGAGTGAAAGAAGAATTAAAACAAGCACGAGATCAAGAAAGCCAGAAAGTCAAAGAACATTTTGAAATTCTAAAGAACTTAGAAAATGAAGTCTATTTACATGGCCAAAAAGCAGACTTTTTGCTTCTGGAAAATAAAAGATTAAAAGAAGTAAGTTCAAGAGCACCTCATTTTGCAAAATGGTTTTTGTTGATTGGCTAGGTACAAGCTACAAGGGAAAAAATGAGACTATAGATATTCATGGTATCCATTCATCTTCTTTATCTTCTCATCAGTAAACCCCTGTCCTCCTCTTAATACCATAGATGAATTTTGCCTGGTTTTGAATATATTTATAGAATGAGTTTATACCCAGACTACTACCACCACTGTGATCTAACCCAATGAGACTCTGATTTGAGCAGGTACTTTCTTAGAGTTTCTAGACCCAATTGGTCATCTCTGAGGTCTTATGCTGAACTCCAGTCTTAACATCATTATCACTTTATGACGTCTGATGCTCACACAAATTACATAAGGAACATTTTCGTAGTGGACATAGTGCAGTAAGGCAGAACATCTTTTAATTTTTTATTGTGTCAAGTTACATTCAGAATGCCATGCTTATTTGGATGCTGAAATGCCTAACAAGAAGCTGCATCCTCTCCCATCTTCCCCAATGGAAGCTTGACAAGTGAATTCACCAGTGTTACTCCTGCAGTACCAGAGTGGCTGACACAGAAAAAAAATTAATACGCATTTGCTGAATGACTACACAGATATTTAATCCACTAACTGCTAATAACTCAACTGCTAATACCAACCACATGCCTTTCATTTCCAGTATATTTCATACTTAAGGAACAATACTGAGAAATACAGAGAAGGACAAGACTTCCTGAAACATAATTCAAGTGACCTGTCCTGGAAACTGATAGCTCAGCACAGTAAGTAGTGTATCGTGGATCCTTTTTACACCTACATTTTTTATTTTTGTTTAAATTGATTGTATTAATTTGTGTATAATAAAATGCGCTTATTTTAAGTGCAATGAATTTTGACAAATGTACACACCATTGTAACCACTACCACTATAGCAAGACATCCATTTTTATCATTGCAAAGTTTCTCTCATGTCCCTTGACAGTTACCCCCACCCCAGCTCCATTTCCTAGAAACTAGTGATATATTTTTTAATACTGATAACTAGATAATTAGTTTGCTTGTTATAGCCATACAGTAGTATTAACTTGTGTGGAGATATGTTTTGTTTCTCCATTCAGCAACTGAAGGACATTTGCATTGTTTTCAGTTGTTCCAGCACCATTTTCTGAAAAGACTATACTTTCATCACTGTACTAATCTAGCAACTTTTTTGAAAGTCAGTTTTATAGGTCTATTCCTTTATTCTAAAAATTTGACTTTATACTAAGTACCACACTGTTCAGATTGCTATAGTTTCATATACAGTGTACACTGCAGATCATGTAAGTTCTTACCTTTATGCTTCTCCTTTAAAATTATTTGGCTACTCTGAGTTCTTCCATTTAAATTTTAGAGCCAGCTTATTGATCTACAAACACACACACACACACACACACACACACACACACACACGCACGCACATCTTACAAGATTTTAATTGGATTTGTGTTCAATGTGTAGATCAATTTTAGGAGAACTGACATCTTAACAAAGCTGTCTTCAGGTCCAAGAACATAGCATGTATCTCCATTTGTTGAGTCCTCTTTAGTTTTTCCCTGCAAGATTTCACAGCTTCTGGTTTAGTATCAGCTGCTCCTGGGACTATCCTCAGGGTTACTGATTGGTAAGAAGAATCCACCAGATTCAGAAGTTGTTCTACTTGTGGTCATTGTGATCAGAGTGAAAGATCCAGACTAAAATCAGCAAAGAGAAAAGGCATGTAGGGGAAAGTGTAGGGGGAAATAGGTGCATGCTTTCAGTGTCCTCTCTCAGTTGTCTGGATGTACTTCATTCCCTAGCAAAGACATGTGACCACACATGCAACATGTCATCCACCAGGGAATTTCCTGGGCTTGGGTGTCCAGGGTATCTATGAGGGTCATTCTTACAAGTATACAGGGTTTGTGTGATCAGCTCTGAGGTCCAGACTTCTGAGAGGTACCAATAGTGTTCTCAGGTGTGCAGTTAAGGTACTGTGATTCAATTATTAAACTAATCTCCCACTCCTGGAGTAAGGTCTATTTGTTCAAGAGCTTTCACTGGTTGTATCCATTGCTGAGTTTGGTTTGCTAATCCTTGTAAAGATTTTTATGTCTGGGCATGACTATCTTGCTCATCTTGTGCTGTGCTGTGGTCTGGCAAGTGGTCCCCAGCAGAGAGCCAGCAGGAGCACGTGTCTGATCCAGTTAGCCTACCATTCTGGAAGTAGAAATTTTTAGATAAAAATAATTTTCAAAAAGCAAATTGAAGTAATTTGTTTTTTAAGTGTTCAAATTGTTTTAGTAACTATATTTTTAAATTTATTTCAGCACAATATAAATATTTGTGGACAGAATTTCAGGCCACAGTTAAGGTGAGTTTTTGTGCATGGTACCTCCATATCATACTTGCAAAAATGTTCACCTAAGAAGAGTGTGTTTGTGTGTGTGTGTGTGTGTGTGTGTGTGTGCATAGGAGTTCTGAATTGCAGGGGAGTGAAGGGCTGGTGTGGCCATCACATATTAAAATGTAGCCATTATCTCAAATGTCACTATAAAATCTTAATCCTTTAGGAAACTGCCTTCCTATACTACCACTCAGTTAAACTGGGAAGGATTTCTTTATTTCTTTTCTTTTTTTTCTAGCTCACATTGGACACATTTTGTTCTAGGGCAGAGCTGTCCATTCTAAACTCATATTCATGTTCTATTAGCCATGGAACATCTCTACCTCTCCCCACTTTAGAGTCAGATAAGCTGAGATTTAAACCTAGGCTCTGCCTAAATACTAAAAGGTTACATAAAGTATGCAAAGTTTACATAAAATCCATGTTTAACATTTATGATACTAGGTAGGGAAAGTGTTAGTCAATGCTTTTTTGAGATGAAGCTACAGAGGCTTGGAATTTAACTTGCTGAAGACAAAATAATAATGAATTAAGAAATTTAAAACTGGGATCCTATCTGATTACAAAGTTCTATCTCTGAAGCTTTATCTCGTCTGCAGTTCTGTACTGCTCTGAGGGTAAAATGGCTTTTTATGCCACCACCACCACTACTGTAACCAGTTATAAATCCAATCTCAGTGGGCCTTCAATTAAATATTCTCATTTGGTAATCTATTTTCCATGCTCTTTTACAAAACTTTGTCAAATGGCTGGGTACATAAACTAAACCCAATTTTGCATATATAGTTTTGTTTTAGACATTAACCCAGTTAGAATTGTTTTTGTTACAATTTATATTCACATACCCCATACATGCTATTTCTTTAAGGACTTGGTGCTCAATGGTGAAAATAACTTGCATGAAATAAAAAATCTAATAGACAAGCTGTGCACTAGGGATGAAAATATTGAGTGCATCAGTACTTGGCTACAGAGGAATCTTGAAGATCTGCATAAGCTCACAAAACAGGAATCAACAGATCTTCGTAAGTAACACCTTAGTGTTTGGTGACAGACTTTCCTGCTATTTTGTTATAGCTCATGACATCAAAAGGAAAAAAATGCCAATTAACTCATCCCCAATGTCACAAACATTCAACTGAATACTGATATTCATTCACTAGGGGGTTGAATATTGTAGTACAAAAAGTATTTGCCAATTCTCCTTTCCACCTAAGAAATTTTTCTAGATAAGTGAATCTTAGCTTTATATAATTTTTTTTTTCAAAAGTCTCTTTAAGAACATTTTTCAGAGCCAGGTGTGGTAACACACACTTGTAATCCCAGCACTTGAGGCAGTAGGATCACCATGAGTTTCAGGCCAACCTGGGCTACATAGCAAGACCCTGTCTCAAAAACAAATTTTTTTTTCAGAGTTCTTTTTTAACTATACACATATCCTTGTCTTCTTAAACAAAAGTGAGTATAATGTTATTCTTTTTTCCTAAGCTGAATTTAGCATTAAAAACAGCAACTGTTGCCTTCTCTGAAAAATGTAGTGATTCCTTCTGGGGCTTTTGAGATGTTAATCCATCCTATCTAACAAGCTTGTCTCATAAGCAAGTGTACCAATTTCTCCAGAGGCATGTCAACTTTATCTTTAATTGGTGCAATAACTTTGCTTTAGACACGACTCTAAACTTTGACCCTTTATAGAAAAAGTTTGCCAACCTCTGAATTAGAGCATTTTACTGATGTGTTCTGTAGTCACACAGAAAGGAGGGGAGTTTTGCTATGACATGGTGAAGCCTAAGGACTACATATACTTGGAGAATAGAGGCTGACTTCTTCATTCTAGCCCACACAATGATGAACACACACTGTTAAATAATGATCAATCCAGGAAAAACAAAATTTTCATTAAAAATGAAAAGACTCAATTTTATTTTTAAAAATACACTACATATGTTTACTGAAAATATATTTTCAGTCAATACATAATTTTTTGACTGGCAGAACTCCAATTTAGTACAATGTGCAGCAACTGAAATGTTGATAACTGGGCACACAAATACTTGAAACATCTCATGTTTTTTACGTTCCATTTCATGTGTTAATATTTCATTGTACTCAACCAACATTTACTGAGTGCCTAGGCTATGGCAAGACACCTGAGTTACTATGGTGAATGAGACAGATACAGTCCCTGCCCAAATGGAACTCACAGTGCAGTACAGGGGTTGGCAAACTCTTCCTGTAAAGGGCTAGATAATAAATACTGTTGGCTTTGCTAGCCGTGAGGTCTCTGTAGCAACTACCCAACTCTGCCATTGTAGCAGAATTACCCACTAAGCTGTAACTTGCCCAGTTCTACTACAGTGGGAGAATCAGCATCATACAAATGTATATAAAATCACAAGTATACTGGATATGGGGCCTAAGAAGCATGAAAGGACAACCTGGTTAAGGAATCAGGGGAGAGATCTCTGAAGAATTGGAAATGAAGACACATATGTGTAAATACCAAATAGTTTCTCTGGTGTGAGAAAATGAAAATGTAAATAAGGATTAAAATGATTAAAATTAATAACTGATAATTTGAAATAGGAAGAAAAGGTCCAAAAGGGTAGGGAAAGTGGGAGGGGAAGGGAAAAGGAAAAATTATGAGAAAAGGAAAAAATGGAAACAAAGTGTTTGTAAATAAGGAAGGGTGGAGGGGGTGAAGGGAATGGGGAAAAAATAAGAACCAAGATACATTATGTACAGGTACAAGCACCCAATGATAAATGTAAACGTACTGTATACCTAAAATGTACCAATAAAAGAATTAAAGCAAAAAAAAAAAATTGGAAATGAAATGGAACTGAGAGCTGAAATTCCTGGCTTCCCATAGATCCACTTGCCACTGCTCCATGTGGGCTTTGGAGCAAGGTGGACTTAACCCCAGCTTCATCTCCATGTCTGGCTCCCTGCTGTTGTAAAATACCAGTGAATAACAGGAGTTATAAAACATCAGACCCCTGAAATCTACTACCCTCCTAGGGAGGGAAGAGTAAACATTGGCTCTTGAATTGACAACCTCTGAGCCTCCTGTAAACTAGTTTTTGAATGTTCCCTATTGATTTGCTTCTCTCATAGAAGGGTTTCTCCTGGAGCTTTTGTTCTCTTCCACTCCACAAACCTCTCCTATCCTCTTCTAGACAAAATATGTCACTGCAGCCTTGCAGATGCAGTCCTCTCCTTCATGATATGGCACCAACTCATTAATGTCTTGAGCACCCCTCAGCCTGGTATGTGGCCAGATAGTACAGTGAAAAGACCTACCCCTGAACTTTAACAAGCACACACTGTGAGAGAACCAGACAGGTGAAGAGAGGTTAGAATACAGTGGATCTAACAAGTGGCTATGGATAAAGCTCTAAGTCTCCCTGAATGTTGGGAATAAACAGAAATCTCTTGTAGAAGGAGTGGCAGAGTCATGAGCATCTAGTGTCCTACAAGCTCCTAAGTCAAAACTTAAAGCTGAGCTAGGACAAGGTTGTTTTGTATGTTTTTACTGACCACGTTTTATCAAACTATTTAGTAACAGTAGCAACCCCACTGATCATGAATTATGCTTGTTTTTATGAAATCAAATAAAATTGCAAATATTAAGTACACTTGAAATTGCTTGATTTGAAGACCTGTTACCATAATTTCTTGCATGATTTTTTTCTTTTGCATACATATTTTTCTGCTAGAAGAGGGCACATGAGAAAATGACTTCAAATATACGGAACTAGAAGATACAATCCTGATAATCAAATTCATGGCACCTCCCACATACCCAACAAACTAATTATCCAATTGAAGATTCTTTGGTCAGCTCAGAATTTTAATGCATGAGCCACCAAACCTGTGTGAGATACAAACAAAATTTTTTTAAAAATTTTTATTCCTACAGGAAAGAAGAAAAACAAGCATACCAAAAAGAGTCCATTTCTTACAAAGAAATGCATTCATAAAGAATAACAAAATAACTCAAAGATACAACTGCTGTGAATTCAAAAGGCATAAACAAAACTCAGGAAAATTAGTGCACTTATTTTCATATTTTGCAACTGTTAAGTCTTCAACATGTGAGCTTTAACCAATTTGCCCAACCCTATCAAATAGCAAAAAAAGTGAATAACCTTCTAAATAATACAGCGACTAAACATGGTCAGACTAGGGTAAGTATTCAATATTTTATTTTACTTTCATGGTTGTGAGTATATGTATTTATTCATTTGAGAAAAAAGACTAACTTTAGTACTTCACTTTTTTCAATTACTTCCATATTTAATATGGTAAAAACCAATTAAATGTCAGAACATTTGACGTTTTTGTACTTATGCTCTTTTTATTGTTTTCTTTACAGGAGCAATAATCTGAACATGTCTTCCACCAAACTACCTATAAACACAAAACCTATTCTATAAATTATGCTCTATTTTTGCAATATTATCCAAATACTGTATTGGTGAAAATAAATAGTTTACCAAAAACAAAATACTTTATTTCCATGTTTGCTACCAGACTTCACAAGTATGACTGTAATTCATCATAGGCGAAAAAACAAATTGTACTACAACAAGCTGCACAATATGCCACCACTAGGGACTTCAGATTGCATGTGTTGAAGTTTTTCTTAATGAAACAAGAACAACCCATTACTAGGTACACAAAAACATGACTGGGCTCTAAGAACAGCTAAGACTTCCTCATAGGCTTAGAGTGTGATAAATAATATTATACTAACAGAGTATCATGATATTTTCTATTTCCCAAGCCTAACCATAAGGTCTGTTAAGTCACAAACCAAAACACAAAACATTATGACATACTGACAGTCGTGTGGCTGTGTATGACAGAAGGGTACTAATACATTTTTAAAATTTTCTTTATGTTTTTATTAAGAATACTTCTTAGGTTTTTTGGCATTTCATATTCAATGTCCATTGGCTCCCTCTGAGAGTATCCGTGAAGGTTCGGTAAATTTTGCAGTAAATAAATAAAAAAGTGCTGGTGTAGGTACCAAAGCCAAAAGGGGCAGATCCTGCTCAAGTTTATCCACTCTGGAAATGGAGATTATTCCATAGGCATGAAGTAACCAGTGGCTGAAGAGAACAATAAGTCTTTTCTTCCTGACCAGAAGATCATAGCAGTTCTATATAATTTTATAAAAGAAAGAAAAGAGAGATATTGATTATTAGGCTGAATCTGCTAGATAATTTATTTATTTTCACAGTCATCATACCTTGGAATTATAAAATAGTTGAGCCAAAAAGGACTTAAGAATTACCCAGTCTAGCCACCACACTTTAGAGATGAGGAAATTAAGGCTTCCTACTGTCATAAAAGCACTTGACATCAGCACCAGGACAAGAACTCCTGTCTGTCAAGTCCTAGTTCTGCGAACTACAAGAGGAATTTCACACCATGGGCTTCCTCCCACCCTGATCCCCTCTTGTGGCTGTGAGTCTACAAGTGGAACAGAGGAGGTCCATAAAGCCAACCTCTTAACCTCTACCAGTCCTGGAGTCTGCTGCCTGAATAATTAGAAGAAAGCTGAAATGACATGCAGATACTCTGATTTTCTTTTAATCTTTAATATACACTCTATGATATGCAGAAATTGGAAGGACCAAATTAATATAAAAGTAACCTCTAAACATGCCAATAAACACACTCACATGTAATTTGCAACTTTCTCATGTCTTTAAATGGCCCATCAGCTCACCTAGAACTAGACTGACTTTCCCTGATTAGGATTCCTATTTCTGATTCACGTGTAGGGGGATAACTGAAGAATGGTGAACATTTTACATAAGAAAAGTTCACAGGTACAGAGAACCAAGTTTCAAGCTAATTTAGAAATTCATAAATATTTCTTAATTATCGATAACAAAAATTCAAAAACCTCATTTTCTTCAAATATCCAAATCTTTCCATACATGACGGAAGTGTCAAAACTAACTTCCTATCTTCTTTAATCATATTTCAATGCTGGTTAAGGACTACACAAAAAAAATGAAGACAGTCTATAAATGGGAACGACTGAATAACAAAAATATAGTGGTTCCTCTACTTTATTCTATCTATAAGTCACTATGATTTCTAGGTGTTTTCCCCCACTCACTCACTCCCTAATAGATTAGAAAAGTGCCATCAACAGCAACCAATCCAAAATAGTTAACTTATTTTTTCTAGTTGAACTTTTATAAAAAGTTACAAATTATGAGAAAGTACATATCTAACCAATTATAGTGAGCAGTTTAAGACAGAGATCAAAGGCATTAGATTAAAAAAGTATGGAAGAACCTAAGGTCTTAGACTTAATCCTTTAGAATTTAGTCTCAAATTTGAGTTCTTAAATCAGATATATTAATGTATTTAATAGCTATCATTTAAATGACATTAAAACAAAGAAATAGATACATTATTATTTTAGAAAGAATTTGAGATTGCATGTGAACAAATATATGCAAAAACACCCATTTTGATTAATACACTCTCCCTATAGTAGAATACACTATTACTTCCCATTTATTGTTAATATTTTTGATTCATAATGGCTTAGTTCCTTAAAAACGCTTTTTTTTTTTTGGTACTGGGGATCGAACTCGGGTCCTTGAGCTTGAGCAGCAGGCAGCAAAACCACTGAGCTAAATCCCCAGCCAAAAATAGCATACTTAAAAATATAAATATGACATGATGTTCTATTCTACCCCACCAACCTACAAATGAATCGCAAGACATTTTTGAAAAAATACTCTGAAAATAAATACATATAAAAAAGGTAAAACAACAAAAAACAAAGTTCCTTATCCCAGGGGGCCTGCCACTGAAATCTTAAAACGTTAGGAAGCAACAGAAGGATATCTTAAAAAGAGGAACAGAATCAGAACTAATGTGGCTATTATTACTAGTGTGTTCTCCTAATCACCCAAGTATTAGAGATATTATAGCAAAAGTAAATATCTATAATCGAAATAAAACAGGATAAAGTATAGATGGGTATGGAATGAATGCATAATTATTGATGATTCAGTATGGCTGAATTATAAAATAAAGTTATAAAATTATTATAAAATAAAGTTTAAAATTAGTCATATATACAGTAAAAAAGCATTTTTATATTTCTCTCAAAATAGTGTTAATCAATTTCAGTATTTCAATACCTATATGTTTGCTATGCAGGTAAATTATGTGAAATAATTTTTCTTTACCATACTGGATAGGAGAGCTTGTACTTCATTATTTTGCTAACATCCCACAGAAATATATAGTACAATATACACCATCTTCCATAAACTTACATAACATGCTCAAAGCTACCAAACGATATCGATCAGCCAAGGATTACTGAAATAATCAGTTATAACTTATCATATCATTTGTACTATTCAACTGTCAAATTTATTAAAAATTTTTTTAAAATGTTAACAAAGAAAAAAGATTTCCTACCTCTATTTCAGAAGCTGACATGTATACAGCCAGGGTAACCAAAGATAACACTAATATAATATATGGGAAGGCATAATCTGAAAGACAAATACTGGTATTACAACGGAAATTAAACAAATTCTCTGAACAAACCATCAAATAAATTCAAATAGTATTAATTGTCTCTATGGTCCAATCCATTTTCAACCAGTTCCATGAGACTTGGGTTCTAAAATCCTGAGACAGGGTCAGCAAACTTTTTCTGGAAAGGGCTAGATAGTAGATATTTTTCGCCTTGTAGGCTATATAGGCTATGTTTTATTATTCAGCTATCTAGTTTTACTGTGAAAGCAGCAATAGAAAATATATAAGTATATGAACATGTCTTTGTTCTAATAAAACTTTATAAACACTAAAATTTGAATTTCATACAATTTTAACATATTAATGAATAAAAGTCTTTTTTTTCTTTTGTCCAACCACTTAAAAAATGTGAAATCCATCCTTGGTCTAGCTTTGAAGATCCTTGGCTAAGGCATCCATTGGACAAAAAGAATTAACTTCTCTCCTGTGCATCTAGAATGATACTAGCAATGAATGAAACTTGGAAATATTAAGAAAATAATTATTTAAATAATTTTATGTTTTATAATCCAGGATGGGAACCTTGGTTGAGAAAGTCTATCTGTAAGAGTTATTCAGCTTTAACTAATGCTTAGAAAGGTTCATTCATCAATAAACCTCAGAGGATTAATAGATCTTTCATTAACCCTACTATCAAAATTCTAGAAACTTCTACTTCAAATGCAGTAGTTACAATACATTGAGGAAAATTTTTTTCCTACAAAGCACTACCATTTTCTTAAAATATTTTAAATTTATAGCACATGAAAATAGAAATTCAAAAAATACTTTGAATTATTTGTGAAACTACTTATCATTCAACAATGCAGAACTCATTTGGAACAATTTCAATGTTAATTCAGGATACAGCACCCAGAAATCCTGAATTATCAATAACAGCTAATTTCAATTTACTAATGAATAACTTGTTTGACATTTAGAAGTTTTTATTTTATACAAAGTAATTGAGTCCTTAATCAGCCATTTAAAAAAAATTTACCTATTAACTTATAAGCAGCTAAATAATGTTGCTATTGACATAAACAAGACTTGGCAATAAAAAGTCATTACAGGCCCATGCCTATAATCCCACTACCCCGGTAGGCTGAGGCAGGAAGATCCTAAATTCAAGTCTAGCCTAGGCAAGTTAGCAATACCTTTCAATCCCCAATACTAGGGGAATACACACACATATTTCTAAGGAAGCCAACAGATAAGTGGGGAGTATAGGGAAGAACTGGGCTGGTGACAGGATTTAGAGGGGCCTTGAACTCCGGCATGAAAAATAATTTGAGAATTTGTACCCCTGGGACTGGAGAAGGGCCTGTGAATCTGTCCACACTGGTTCCCCACGCAGGCCAGACACGGATCACTTATTGGCTGTGATAATTCTTCCAAGCACGTAAGCTTGTCATTGACAACTTCCTAATTGTTCCCAGTGCTTTCTCCCTAGACCCTCAATCCCCTAGTGCAGTGGTGGCGAAGCTACAGCATGCATGCTGCAGTGAGCTGTTTTTTATTACCAAAAGCTCTAAAAGGTTCGCCATCACTGCCCCTGTACCTTTAAGCAGCCAGAAGCTTCCTGCTGCTCCACTCTGCTCATACTTGCTCTATTCCCTAAATCCAAAACTCCTACTTTCCAACACCCCAGAACCATGAGTTGCTATGTGTCATCTCAGCAGACTGCAAGAGTTTATGTTTAGTGCATAAACTCCCTTTGAATGTCCTCTGAGTGGAGGTTTGAGAACAAAGCAATCTGACAACACTTAATGTAGGAAATGGCACTTATCAGTGCAGGGAGCCGAGACACAGGAAGCAATGCTGTCTGCCCTCTCCCTGCCTTTCGCAGCTCTTCCCGTCCTCCACTTTAGAACTGAGAGCACCAACAGCCCAGGGCAGAGGAATCTGGGGGCTTCCAGTTCTTAACTGTCCAGCCTCTATGGCTCCTCAAGCTCCAGATGGGTACCAATTGCTACACATAACCTTTCCCACAGTCAGTGAACACTAGAAACTGAATTCACTTCTCCCAAGCTATTTGATTCTCCTAAAATTCACTGCTAACCCATCCACCAGTTACTAAGTCAGAAAGCTACTTTATTGTATTCTTGTTCCATTTCCTCAACCCCTTTATTTAATGTGCTACTCTAGTTAACCCTACCTTTGAAACAACTCCTCTTTCCGTGCTTCTCTGCCTTGGATCAGTCAGGTGGGGCTCACTGCAATAATCTCTTAACTGATCCCCTAAGCTTTCTTCCTCTCATAACACATTTTCCACTGGGCCATTATCTTTCTAATATGCAAATCTGATCATGTCACTCTTCCACCTGGATTATTTTGCTACTACGGCCCTATCTCCTAGAACAAGATGCATACAGAGGCAGTCTGGCCAGAAAATAACCGAAGTGGGTCAAATCTAATAGGGGATGGTAGCAGGTAGAGGGAACTATACATTTTCAAATACCATGCAGCCAAATAAATAACTTCTTTGCAAGTTGGAATACAAAGGAAAATCAACCCCTAACCTTTAAATTTCTCTTCCCTGGGCCTTATTTTGAGCACCACCCTTACCTTGAACCAAATGACACCCAGACACATTATGTGCATAATAATACCCAGTCCTGCCTTGTTCCCTTAAGCCACAAGGCTGGCCCTCTGCAGTCCAGGAGATCCCTTATAAAAGACAGTACCCACAACCTGGGACTGTTCAATACCACATACTCAAAAGGGTTCCCTCGGCTATTTCTAGCTTCCTTACTTTATTTACTAGTAGTATGTGAGTCCTTGAATGGGGACTTTTTCTTATTCTTTTGAGGCACAGTTCAGTCTAAATGGTTTCTGAATAAATGAATGGATGGAATAAATGAAGACTAAATTGAGAACGTTTACTCCATGCAAAAGGTTTCCAAAATGGACTTCAGAGATCTAAGACCTAAAACAGGCATGGTGGCACAGGCCTGTAATCCCAGCACCCTGACAGGCTGAAACAGGAAGATCACCAGTTTGACCACAGCCTGGGCCTCTGAGCAACTTAGTGAAACCCTGTCTCAAAATTAAACATAAAAGGCTGGGGATATAGCTCAGTGAAGGCCCTGGGTCCATTCCCCAGTACTTGAGGGGAAAAAAAATCTAAGAAACTACTGTTTAACAGTGAACCATAGATCAAGACTAATTTCCATCATATGCAAATAACAGTTTTTACTTTTTGTCTTCTAATAAGGTTTTGAAAATTTTCTAATATGGTTATGAGCTTCAAATGTAAGGCATTCTCTAAGCAAATCAGTTTTGATTAGCCCACAATTTCTTGAGAATTTCTATTCCATTCTATTTCTATTCTATTAAGACTGATTATATGCTTTAGCAAAAACATATACTAATGCTTATCTTCAAGGATTAAAGAAAGATTTTAAAGAAAAATCTGCAAAATGAAGTTCAGAGAAAGCACTGCTTCTTACACATAATAATAAAAAAATTTCACTGACTTCACTTATCAAACTCACATAAAAGGCCTCCACCAACTGCCTGAAGCACAGTCAATATCGGGAAGAAATAAAGCGCAGCATATATACTTTTAAATCGGTCAGACTTCCCCAAACCACACGCGATCTTCTTCACAAGAAGGGGTCTGAGCAGCATCATCAACACTAAGCAGAACGCGTAATAAATAAACACGATGGTGTACCTGTAAAGCAAAGGGTTCGTGACATTTTAAACAACACCGGGGAAAGCTTTTTGATTCTTGTTATCTTTAAATCAAAGATCCTAGCAAAGGTTTTAGAAGTGTCTTAGGTCTACCCACTCAATATTGGCATTAGGGGAAGGCTGGCCAAACAGATTCTCACTGACTGCTAGCAAATGCACACCACTTTCTCTTCTGGCAGTTTGGAAATGTATCAAAAATCCTGAAAGTTTCTATACCCTTTGACCTATCAGTTTTACTGGTAGAAATTTATTAAAGGGAAATAACCAGGGATACACATAAAAATCTTTATTGGATCACTTAAAGAAAACTCAGGAAAAGAATATTCAACAACAGAAACTAGCTAATTTCAGAGTACATTCATGATGGACCAACACACAGCACACACTGTATACATGCATCAAACATCACAAGATACCTCATTAACAGGGATAATTTTATGTGTCAATTAAAGAATATTAAAAATTCAGTGGCAACAAAAAAGATATAAATATTTTAAATAATAATCTAGATTCCTGAATTGTACGTATTTCTATGAGAAAAAAATTCAAGTCACGATGAGAAAACTTAAAGCAAATCAAGAAAACTCTTAAATACATGCCTCTACTGCCCCACCCTCCATTCATTAGGGTTATTTTCTTTACTAAATTTCTTATCCCAAAATAACTTCAAATTAAATTTAATTAACAGCAAAACAACAGAACAAGAGAAAGTGGGAGGACAGAGCTCCAAGTTTTGTTGAGAGGCTTCTGCAGTGCATAATTCGCTTGATGAGCACACAGTAAGCTTGGGTCTCTCAATTGAATTCCCTTGACTGATTTGGCAGACATAGCTGTTTTATTTGGATTCTTCACCCCATGATATTATAATGATATTCATTTGTGTGTACTCTGAATCAACAAAACTGGGCAATTCTAATTGACTTATGTATCACCGCTGCAGTTTTAAAAGCCAGTGGCACTTAAAATTAGAAGTGGCTACCGTGAGTGCAGGGCGAGCTAGGAGCATCTCTTTGCCATGTCTCTTTTGATCTGATATTTTCACAATAAACACTATGCACATGACTACCAGTAAGTGAGTTTAATTTTTTAATAAAATAGCTCTACCTTATTTAAATATGATAATCAATTCCATTCTGAAGCTTTCTAAATAGGACCTGGTTAAATTCTGTAAGTCCTCGAGACAGTATATGAGAAGAGATTACCCAAGCCCGAGGGTTACATCTCTAAGAATCAATGAATCACCAAAGAGGACATTGTAGGTCTTTTATGAGTCTTTTATTTATAAAATATAGTTTTATTTATACTCATAAATAATTTGAAGAATTTAAAAGTTGGCATGGAAGAGATTTTTATATTTCTTTGACTGGATCTTGTGTTTTGCAAATCATCTTTTTATATGTATGTATGTGTTTTGGACATTTAAAAATTGGATAAAAAAGGACTAATTTCATTAACCACAGTAAGTAATAGAGACATGCAATAATTATGACAACAAAGTAATACACTTTTCTGTTCTATCCTGACCAAGAAAACATATCATATATCAACAATTTATAGAAATTCTAAAAATGGGTAGTCTGGCATAATATTACATAGAATCTTTAAAATTTAATATTTTTAAAACAAAAAATTCTAATGAAACTTTGATTTATTTCAAAAAACACAAAAATTGTAAAATCTTAACATAAGCACAATAATAATGCCAGCTACTCTGATTGTTGATGTTGATAAAGTACTACCATGGTGTCTACTATGTGTGCATTTGTTTAATCCTCACAGCACTTTATAAGGTATCATTATCCTCATTTTACCGACGGGAAAATTGAGGTTGCAAGAAGCTGCTATTACGCTCGTATTAATGTAACAACAGCACACTCAGAATTTACACCCAAGCCACTTTACTCTCCAAAGCTAATACTCTTTCAAATAAAGTCCAAACTGTGTCAATATTACATCTCTGTTGCTTATCAAGGTTTTTCTTTATAATGGACTCTAAGAGTCAATGAAAGATACAAAGCTTATGAAGAAGTGTTTATATATGTTTTAATAGTAACACAAACCTTTCTGTTATACTAAGAGGCTTTCATATTTCTTCCTGCTATGTATGCCTTAAGAGAAGAAAGCTACTGCTGCATCTCTCCCCCAGTGCCTAGAAGCTATTTTACAATGCTCAATCTGTGGAAATGCATTAAATATATAATATGTAATACCCTCAGTTTCTAAAGATGCTGTTAGGTAAAAGATACTTACAGTGGGTAGACTGCTTCATGAGTACAGTGCACTGTAGTGACGTAATCTGGGCTTGGGTTGTAAAGCATCGTGTACCAGTCTGAGAGCATCAAGACGCGACAGGACCGGATGTAGAGCACGCCGACCGGGTCACTCACGAGCAGAGTGATGACCGCTGCCCCGCTGCACTCCAATAACGCGGTGATGTGCTGGAAGAGCGCGCTGGAGCTGGGGAACAGAAGCAGAGGCATGTTCACCAAGCAGAATCAGGACGGCTCTGCTCCAATGTGTACAAGTTTCGAGGTATGGATTCTAAACAGAATTTTTAACTGGAAAATCCTGAAATATCAGAAAAGTGAAAAATATATGAAAATGACTTAAGAGTATTGTGGGCTTATTCCCTAAAAATGGATAAATCATTTCATTCTACAGATCATTATGCCCGTATTATTTAAAAGTGTCACAAAAGAGCAGAAATTAGAAATCTACATGATAATTTTAGTATATTGTCAAACTGCTATTTAAATTTTCTTAGTTATCATCATTTTATCTTATAAAAGTATATAAAATATAACATGTGTATTAATTATTGAAAATAATATAACAAACACTCTAAGTGCCATGCAACCCAGCAACTAGAACACCGTAAACAACTTGTACTGCCTTCTGGGTTCCTCCCTGTCCCACATCCTTAGAGGCAACTAGTTGAATTTTTTATCACTTTTTAAAGTTTTTATCCCAATCATATACTTCAAAACTACTCTGTTTAATGTTGCTTTATTTTTTATTACCACTCTAATGTAAGTCATTTCAGATTTTTTTCCATTCAAATCCATGGCATTAGAGCCAAAGTACAGTCAGTTTTATTGCTGTGAGATTCCAGTCTGTGATCACACCATGATTCTGCTTTGTTAGGTGAACGTGCTGTAAATGTCTTCCTCTCAGTTTATGGGTTAAATTTTCACTTTTTTGTAATGTCTTTTTATGAACATATTCTAAATTTTAACATGGTTGGCTTTTTAAAAATTTCTATCGGGCAATTTAAAAGTTTGGTTTTAAAAATTCATTTGCATTCCAAGAAAAGAAAGTATTATCCTACATTTTCTTCTAAATGTTTTAAGTTTTGCTTTTCACATTTCAATCTTTAACTCTCTGTAACAGTTAATATTGACTGCAAGCTTCAAAGGCTTAAGAGATGCCCAGGAGATTAGTAAAGCACCCTTCTGGGTGTGTCTGGATGGGCCTGAGAGAGTCTTTGGGGACCACACCTGCTCCCAGCCCCTTTTTCTCTGGCTCTTTCCCAGTCTTTCCTTGTCCCTCCCTGCTGCCATGAAGTGAGCACTCGTCTCCTCCTTGCCCTTTGGCACTGATATTTCTAACTATGCACTAAAACCTCTGAAACCATGAGCCAAGATAAATCCCTCTTGCTGTAGGTTGCAGGCATCAGGGACTGTGTCTCAGCAAAAGAACGGTAACTAACAGATTCTGCTGTAGCACCTAACTTGAGACTCTACCTGGACATACAGTACGATTGTCCCAGCAGCAGCACTTACTGAACAGGCAATCTTTTCTCCCCACTAATTTGTCATGCTGCTTCTGCAATACAAAGTCTCATACACAATTGGTCTGTTTTTAGGTTCTCTACTTGTTCCTAGGGTCCATTTATCTATCTATGAGACAAAAGAATAATAACATCACTTCTTCAGTGACCTTGGCTATTCTCAGTCCTTTGCTCTTCCATATAAAATTAAAATTAGCTTATCAAATACAATATAAATCCTACTTTGGTCTTAATGACTTCACAGTACTTGAGGAGTACTTGGAATATAGGAAGACAACCAATTTTTATATTTATCTTAGAGCCAGCCTCTTTATTAAACTCTCATTATTTCCAATGCCAAGTTTACAAATGCTTTTGATTTTTCCCCTTGAACAATGTTTCCATCACCCATTACTGCCTAGCAAACTACCCCATAAGTTAGTGATCTGAAGTGACATCCACTGATTATTTCTATTTTTTGTGGTTCAAATCGGCTCAGCGAGGCAGTCGTTTCTGCTTTGTGTGATGTCCATTTGGGATGTACGCCAAGGTTCAACCACACTGCAGTGTGCAAACAGCTAACTCATAGGGCTGCAGCAAGTGAGGAGCTGACCAGAGTGCCCTGGCTCTCTTCCACATGGCCACCGTGTTTCTAGTGTTCCTACTGTAATTACAATGCATATAAACATGAACTTCTTTTTATTGTTTGGGATATTCTGTTTTGTACCTATGAATCTGTTTTTCATTATTTTTATAAAACCCGAAGTTAAGCCAGGCATGGTGGTGCTTGCCTGCAATCCCAGCACTCTGGGAGACTGAGGCAAGAGGATCGAAAGTTCAAACCCAACTTGGGGAACTTAGCAACTTAGTGAGACCCTCTCTCAAAGTAAAACCTGAAAAAACAAAAAACAACTGGCTCTCCTCATTGTCTCTGTGCTTTTTTAAAGATTCTGATTAGATAATATGTGCAAAGGATTTACGGAACATTTCCCCTGTGCGTGAGAATCTGAGCTTCAGGTCACTCCCTAGCTACTGCTCTGGAAATCTAACAAGCGTAGAATGTCAACTGTATTGCTCAGTAACTCTGCTTATGATACAACAATCCCTGGTTGGTAAGTTATATCTGAACTGGGGAGAACTGTAAGTGAACTATAAATATCTAATGAAGACACTGCAGTTCATTTTCCTCCCTTAATGATTCCAGGAATAGGAATGTCCCTTGTAGGACCCTGGAAACTATACTTATGGAGTTGTTATAAAGGACAGACTGGCTGCTGTCAGACAGACTTCAAGCCTAGAAAATTCCCACAACCATTCAAAGTGGATTTCATCTCCTTGTACATGAGCTGAACTGCTTCAAAAGCTATAACTAGCCAGGTGTGGTGGTGAGCACCTGTAATTCCAGCAATCGGTAGGGTAAGGCAGGAAGGAAAATTGCAAGTTTCAGGCCAGCCTGAGCTACATAGTGAGTACCTGTCTCCAAAAACAAACAAAGCAGTGGACAAGTAAAGTCTCATGCCACATGGTAAGATGTGATGCTTTTTTTTTTTTTTGTAATACTGGGGATTGAAAGCAGGTCCTTCACATTAAACTACACCCAACCCTTTTTCCCCCCAATTTGCTAATCCTATTAGTGGGAGAGTGTGTGCTCAGCATGCATAAGACCTGGGTTTGATCCCCAGCACCAAAATAAATGATAATTAATCCAACATCAGTCTGTCCATCCACTTACAGAATGTACTAACCTCTTTTTCCCCGAGTACCATTCAATGAAGAACCAATGTAAAATAAGAGGCAGCATAGCCATAAATCCAAGGTAGAGCCAATCATAAAGTTCCGGAGACTCTGTGCAGGGCTGACAGTACTTCTGTACATTTGTTCTCTGCCCTCTTGGGCAAACCTACAATATAGAAAGACATTTTTATGCACACATATTTTAGAACATTGAAATTCTCAAAAAAATTCTATAGTACATCCTATTTTAGTTTAAACATTTAAATTTATACATGTAGCTTTTAGAATTTAAAAATTAAGTATAATATGAATCTACATTGTATATGTTATATCTATGAAAATGATCATAAAAGATTCTTTTAGTTACTAAAACAGCTAACATGTAGTGAAAAACCTAGTTAGTAATGTTATCTAAAAATTATTGCAGAGAAATGTTCTGGAGTTGTAACATTAACTTACTGTATAAGTCACTGCACTAAATCATTTAAAAATTAGCAATAACTATAAATGGGCAGGGGATGTAACTCAGTGGCACCATACCTGCCTGGATATAGATTTCAATATTCTAATAAATATAAGGATTTTATTAATGCTTCTCTACTCTTCTCAGTTAAAGTTTACGAAAAAAGATTCTACATGTGAAAATATCTCAAAAGCAAATGGATTATACCAATGAAATATTATATAAACATCAGACTTACCCCACATTCTCCATATATTTCAGTTGAGCCATTTTTAAATAACAGGGTCTTCCCACAATAAAGTCCAAGGCATGCTGGTTGAATATCGACAGCTTTTTAAAAACAAACGCCAGTATAGTAACATCTTTTGTGATTATAAAAAAATAATGCAATAACCACCGAAGCATTTGCCAGACATACCTCATTACAGTTTCAATTTTTAAAATGATAGGTATTAGACAAAAGTCTTCATGTATTTTCTTTTAAACTGTTACACTCAAACCTTGGTGTTAACACTGTGCCCTGTGATTAAGGTCCTCAACCAGCAGGGCCCATTGGATCCCCAGAACTCAAAGCCTAACCCAGCATGTCTCCGAGGGACCAAGAACACACTCCCTTTGAATGGAGTGGACTTTTGAATTTGACTATAAAATTCAAAAACAATTTTTTAAAAAACATAAGGCACTGACGGGGGGCCAGCCCTTTTTGTTTTGCCCAGTAAGGACATTAGGCACACACATTCTATTTCCACCTTTGTTTGGAACAGAACACATCTTAATCACACTAATGCAGAAAGGAAGCAATTTCAGAATAAAGGACAGGCCTTTAAACAGATTCAATTCTATAAAAAAATTTCCTACATTTCCTCACTTTTATCATTTGAGGACAGGTGAAAATTTCATGAAGATTGTTATTGGCCCACTGACCAATATTAGAGAGCCACTGCCTTAGAATCAATCCCCTGATCTCAAAGCTTGGGGAAAATTAAAAACAAAAGACAGCAACAACAAAAACATAGCTCTCCTTAACAAGCAAACAAACAAAACCTACAGATCATCTTGGACCTTGTCAACAGGGAGAAATTACTGGAGAAGCTGTTTTCATCGGTGACATCTGATTCCAGTCATTCGTTCATTCATTCATTCATTTCATTCATTCAATAGGCATGTTCTGAGTGTCGCATTCCATTGGCTAGAGCCACTGAAGGTCCTCAGAGAAACAGAACAGTCCTGACTCTAAAAATCTACAGCCTAGTAAGTCCTAAAATATGGTTTAAATGTGAATTAACGTGGAAAAATACGCATTTATGGCTATAGTTTAACAATCGTTTCCCAAATTCTTCATGAATACACAAGACTCCCAGGTCTACGGGCCCTTTCTCTTTTTCTAAGTACATGAAACCCAACTGTTTCAGATCTTTTGAGAAGGCATAAAGTAAAGAACTGGAAGTTTCTGCAAAGGCATCACATCTAGTCCATGCCTAACAAACTCATTTGAATGTAAATAGTTTCTCAACATCCCAGGCCCGCTTTTCATTCTCACGCCAACCAACAGGAATGCGTTTCCTCCGCCTTAAACAAAGGGACTGAAGGGACAAGCACCGGCTCGGCCTTCCCGCCCACGGCCCGCGCAGCTAGCAGCTGGCAGGAGCGGGCCCTGGGTGGGCCCGCGCCGCCAGCAGAGGCTGCCAAACCCTTCCCGGGGCCACATCGACCACTCACCCATTGGCCGCTAGCGAGCTCCCCAGCAGGAGAAAGGGGATCAGCGAACCCGAAGGCAGCGCCCCGACATCCGGGCCACAACACCTCCGTAGCTCCGCCTCTCGGTAACCGGGAGACCGCTCCGAAGCCCCGCCCCGTTCCCCCCTCCCGTCTAGGTGGCAAAGTCCCGCCCACATCCGAATCTAAGCGCCTTGGCCACGCCCAGGTTCCTGGTCTAGTCGCGAAGCAACGCCCCACTTCCGTTTTCCACTCCAAGGCCCCGCCCCGCTCCCCTGTTTAGGCTCCGAAGCTCCACCCGCTCCCAGGTCCGGAAGCCAAAGCCCCGCCCTGCTTCCGGGTCTGGCCGCGGAAGCCCCTCCCCACTTACGGCCTCCACTCCGAGCCCCGCCTCGCTCCCTGGTCACCGCGCTGAAGTCCCCCTGCGAAGGCCACTCGGGTCCTTCCCGTCTCGCGTGAGTTTCGCTGTGGGAGACTCTCTGGACTCAGACGATGCAGAGCGCGGTGGCCTGGCCCCGCCTGCCCCCTCACGACCCGGACACGCCGGTGCTGTCGGTGGTGGATATGCACACTGGCGGCGAGCCCCTGCGCATCGTGCTGGCCGGGTGCCCCGAGGTGGTCGGGCCCACCCTGCTGGCCAAGCGGCGCTACATGCGCGAGCACCTGGACCGCGTGCGCCGCCGTCTACTGCTCGAGCCCCGGGGCCACCGGGACATGTACGGGGCGGTGCTGGTGCGCAGCGAGCTGCCCGAAGCGCACCTGGGCGCGCTGTTCCTGCACAACGCGGGCTACAGCTCCATGTGCGGCCACGCCGTGCTGGCCCTCGGCCGCTTCGCGCTGGACTTCGGGCTGCTGCCCGCGCCCCCCGACGGCTCGTGCGAGGCCCGCGTCAACATCCACTGCCCCTGCGGGCTGGTGACCGCCTTCGTGGCGTGTGAGGGCGGCCGCAGCTGTGGCCCAGTGCGCTTCCACAGCGTCCCGGCCTTCGTGCTGGCCTCAGGTAACCCGCTGGACCCTCGCGACTCCGGGCGTGGGGAGGCGCGGCCAGGGACTCAGCTAACTCCCTAACCTCTGCCCTGAGCTGGATCCCGGGCGGCGCCACTAACCCCTGAGACGCGACCTCGCAGTCAACCAAAAGGTAATTCTAGATCGCCGCAAGCGAGTGTCAGCATCTTAGCCTTGCAGATCTGGTGCATGCAATTCTGTTACCCTACAGATCTCTCCCTCTGAGGCCGTGGGAGGCCTCCACGAATAGAGAATGCTGGGCTTCTCTTGCGAGGGTCCTTGTTCTGCGCTTTCAGGCGTTCCTAGAGATTTCACAGTTGAATGAAGCACGGTCCAGTTTACCAGGGTTCCGGGCGGGCTCAGACTATGCTTGGTAGACACATTAATCCCGCTAACAAATTACTAAACATGGTCTCCTCCTCATCTGTTAAAAGTGACTCCCCCACTTCTTGGGGAAGAATTAAAAATAAAAGAACCAAGCAACTCATAAGTGAAGCTGTAGGTGTTGCTGCTCTTATTCTTTAAGTACAGGAACATTGCCTAGGTTCAAATCCTGATAGTTCTGTGCAACCTTCGGGAAATTATTTAGCCTCCCTGAGCCTTTTCATTTATCTTACAGATTTTAATTTGTTTTGTTTTTTGGGGCCAGGATGAAATGAGTCTGTGCAAATGTCTTGGAGTTTTAAAAATATATAAAATGTGTATCAAGATGAAAAGATTGTAGGATATATAGGATTGTATATGCCTTGGCATATCGCACCATTACAAGGTTTTGCTAGATTTCCTAGTACAAATTTTCGTGTATTGTGTAAAGCAGGACATCTGTAAAACCATAATCCTTACAAAGAGGGAAATCCCTCCAGCAGATGGCACGGTATCTGGTCTCCAGTCTCCCTGAGCTGTCCTTCTATGGGGGCTGAATTCTAGCATAGAGAATGCTTTAGTATTGGTGACTGGAAGTGTACTGGGTGCTGATTTAATTCATCCTGGAATAGGGTTATTACTCCTTTTCTTCAGAGTATCAAGCCATGCAAATCATTCAGTTAGAAAATTGGTCATGATCCTGCGTGAAGAATTGACTTCCAGATTAACCAGTTCATGAATGACACTGTACTAGAACAGGCATTTGTCCATTTTAGGGCCACCACAGGCAGCTGAAACACCCAAGCTGGTGAATGTATCTGGGGAAATTGATGTCGCTTTCCCTTTAGGAGAGAATGGTGTCACATTCAGATTGGCATTTGAGGGAGACAGAATTGATGTTCAGGATTTGTCTTAAGAATTTCAGCAGTTTAACTAGCATGCCTACCCAGTTTCCCCCCAAGCAAATCCAGCAGATTAGATGCTCTAGATATTGTGGAAGTTGACAGCTGGCTGCAGGGTCACCACGGTCCTGAGGTCCTGAGTTAGAGCAGGGACCCCTTGGGCACAGTAGTTCTGAGAGTGTCACTGTGTGACAGTGTGATAATTAGTGGGCATTTGTGATCACTGAGCTATTAAGGAAATGAAATCCTATATTTCTTCATTTGAAAATGCATAAAAGGCAGGGGACAGCATACTTTCAAGAACAGTGCTCTGCCCTTCTGCATCCTCATGCTCTTGTGGCAGGGTCTCCGCCTCCTGTCACAGTCTGTAAAATGAGGATGGGCTGCTGAGTTCAGCTCCACTCCATTGTGCTAAAATGGGAGCACCTTTGCTTTATTCACTGTATTCCAAGCATTGAGAACAGTAGGTAATGAATGAATACTTGATGAACGAGTAGCTAAATACATGAGATTTGAAGAATATGCTGATTGACAAATATAGATCTCTGGTCCTCTTAAAAATCCTATTCCCATTGAAATTAAACTTTACTGTATTTTAAAAATTAATGGATGGAAGTAACTTTGAAGGACATCTGCTCCATTTTGAAGAGGAAGAAACTAAATCAGAGAGGTAAGAGTGCCCTACCCAACTTGCCCACCCCAAGAAAACTAGAGCCCTGGATTTTAGAATGGGCCAGGAGAACAGCTGTAGGCTCAGTGATTTGTTTTTTGATCCAGCTTCTTCACTGCACCTGGCTCCAGGATTGGCAGCCAATAAGTTGCTCAGTTGCACAGTCGAGAGAAGAGGGCAGGTAGACAGAGCCCCAGCCTGTCGCCCATGTCCTCAGAGAGGTGCCATCGTAAGATTTAACTTCCCCATTCCAGTAGTCCTTAATTCCTATCTACTTGCTCATTCTCCTTTCATTAACCTGCTTTTTATGTTACAGTGTTGCATATACATCAGGATAAAGCCCCCCCTTTTTTTGCAGAACTGAGGATTGAACCCAGAGCCTTTGCACTGAACTCCATCCCCAGCTCTTTTGGGGCAAGTTCTCACTGAAACACACTAAGTGGCCCAGACTGGGATGGAACTTGAAAACTTCCAGCTTCAGCCTCCCAGAGTTCCAGGAGTACAGACATGCCATGCCACATCCAGCTAAAAGGACATTTTTGATCTAGTGTTGCTGCTAAGATCTGCAAGAATAATTCACTCTTGATAATAAACTTACTGTTTCGACACATGATGCACTAAAAGGGCTCCTCACAGCATACTAGAATCATGTGATTCAGTGTGAAAACTCGGGTAGACAAGAAATAATTTGTACAACTTAATTTCTAAACTTGAGACGTCGCTGTGCCCTTTCGTTGACTTAGCCCCTTCCCTGTGCCCCCTTGCCTGGTATTTGTGGGAGCAAAGGTTTCCTAAGAGTCAATGGTGCCTTGGAAAGCAGAAGCCTCGGGACGCTGCTTGCACAGCAGGCAGGAAGCCAAAGTCAGCCTCACTGGGGCAGCCCTGCCCTGTCCCCTGGTCCACTCCTGGTTGGCTGCCTCTGTCCCACCCTCTCCTGTGGTGCAGGGGGACCTTTAGGCTCCTTTCTCCCCAGTCCAAAGGAAAGTATTGGCTACTAGAAATATCTCTCCCTCTAGGACACTTGCCTCTCCCCGGAAACTCTCTGTACAACAGCCATACCAGAAGGACCCACTTTCTCGCTTGCCACGAGCCTCCCCTTAGACAGTGACATGTGCCACCTTGCCCTGGGTAGGCGGGAGAGGGAGGTGTGAGAAGTAAAGACCATTTCAGTATCCTAAAGTATCGCCCAAGCCCATTGCTTTGGAAATACAGATAGGGGATTTCAAACAGCTGGCCTTTAAGTGAACCTCCCAGCGTGTCAGGGAATTAAAATGCTCAGATAAAATTTCTGATGCAGGGCTGCTGGGGATTTAGCTTAGTGGCACCGCACCTGCCTTGCAAACACAAGGTCCTGAGTTCAATCCCCGGTACCAAAAGTAAATAAATAAAATAAAAAATAAAATTTCTGATCCAAAGTGATATTGTAGGGGTAAACTACTCCACAGTGGCTTTCTCCTAGCATTTGCTTGAAGGAGACTTTAAGTGAGATGATGACATGTAGATAAATGTATAATTTACATAGAAAAGTATTTTTGAAATTTTTGTTTTGACATTAGTGTTGAAAAAAACCAATTTGTCTATTTAAAACCATCTCTAGTGGTGCAGTCAGGGACCTATGTAAGGTTTGCAGTTTGATGTCCCAGGGCTTTCTGTCTCTCACCTCTGATGTTTTCTGGAAAGGAATCTTGGTAAGTAAGATAAGGAGGATGAGGAGAAACAGCATACAGATGTTGTCTAACTTACACAAATATCAAGATGTACCTCGCTACCATTTACCTGATGCTTGCTCCCTTAGAAAGTACATTTCAACTTCATTACTTTCTATGACAAAACATACCCCCTGAATAAACATAGTAAAAATGCTGTGAATCTTTGCAGGAATGCTGAAAACTTATTTTCAAACACTTCTTCAGATCTCATGGTGGATGTTCCTAGACACGGGAAGGTGGTGGTGGACATTGCCTATGGCGGTGCCTTTTATGCCTTCGTTAGTGCGAGACAGTTAGGACTTGATGTCCGTTCTGCCAGGACGAGGGACCTTGTGGACACCGCAAGTGCAGTGACCGCAGCGGTGAAAGCTCAGGTCAGTCTGGCTGTGCCGTCACCCGAGTGCCTCCCACTGTGGCCGGGAACAGTAATCAGTACGGTGTCTCCAAGGAAATGATTTGTACAGACACAAAACTTCTAATGGTCCTGGGAAGAGGGTCCCTGTTAGTATCATAGGCTCTACAGTAAGACTGCTGGTGAGCTCATAATTCGAATGAGGCATGTCACCTCCATGTGCCGCAGTTTTCCTACCTCCAAAATGGAAAGTATGCAGTATCTGCTTTTAGGGTGTTGTAAGTGAAGTAAGTCAATATGTGGCCCACCCATAATAAATGCTCAATGAGTATGGCTATAAATGATAACAACTAACTCTACAATATATGCTAATATAATTAATGGTTATTTAAACATACAAATAACATATACAGTATTCCATTAATTCTATTTGAAATGCATGTGTTTTGCTCTGTGTGGTTATTTTCTGAAAAGCTTGAAAATAGAGTGTTAATATAGCTTACATATATTTTCATTGGGTCTGATAAGGCTCTCTTAGAGAACATTAATTCCTAATTAGTGAATTTTTCTTTTATTGCTAAGAACTTAATCATATGACTATTCAGTTAACTAATTTGAGCTGAGGAAGAAACTATTCTGATAATAAAATCAGTTTAGATAATAAATAAGTCTAGACTGTTCTTTCATTTCTAGCATAAGTAGTGCTATTTTACCTTAAAGTCTGGAGCCATAGGTAAAACACACTGTAATTGAATGTTTGGGCACATAAACATTTAATTAGTAGCCAGTAAAAATTAACTAACATAAGATAGTGCCTAATATACTTCCATTAATAATTATGGCTCATTTAACACTCTTAAAGTTTTAATTTAGTATAATTTATAACTCAAATAACAAAATGAAACATGTACTATATTGCTATTCTAACTGATCATTTTTGGGTTACTGTCAATGCCAATATGTGGAATTATTTTATCATAGTAACTTTTAAAGCTCTGAATTTACACCAGTTTTCTGTTCCATTAAGCAGACAACTAACAGTTGAAATTTTTGGCACAAAATAATCCCACCTCACTTTAAATTAAATCATGAGAGAAAGATAATTTTCTTAGTAGATGGGGTAATTTTGAAATTGGCCATAAAGCTTCAGCTTTCCATGCAGGTGGCAGCAGCAGTGGCGTTCAAGCTGTACCAGGCAGCAGAGCTGACCATTCACATCACTGGTGTAGATTTAGAGAAAGACCACTTGCAGAGTGAGGGCTTAGAGTGAATATGATACAATTTCATCTTCATTCATTCTCCTAACAAACACTTGCCAAGAACCTACTGCACGTCAGACACCATGATAGATGCTGCAGCTCCAAAGGAAGAATAAACCCCACCTCCCCAGAGCTTGGTCTAGTGGGGAGAAGCACACCTGTGAACAGGCTGGCTTGGGGTGCTACTGTGGGTGTGGGCACAGCGATTGTAGGTGAATGGAGAGCCAAGATCAGTCAATATGCAGGCCTACTTAACTTGGGTTTAGATGGATGCTTTCAGTTCTGAGAACCCCAGTTGTCCAGTTGTTTTAAATGACAGGTACATGGGAAGAGAGTGTATTAATTGTAAGACTATATGGAGAAGATCATACTAATCTCTACTCTCGGGCACTACAGAAATCCAGAGCACATAAACAACTAGACTTCCCATAAACTAGGAGCACTGAGTGCACCTTCAGTCCACTGAGGGACTTAGCCGCCTGCCGGTGCCTCCTTCTGCCTGTATGCATCTGCTGACTTCCTCTCCATGGTCGTCTCATTTTTTTTTTTCCGTGCAGTTGTTTCTCTTACAGATCGGAATCCTTTTAACTTGTGTCTGCTCATGGCCTCGCACCATCCTCGTCTCTTTTGCTAGTATTAACTTCAGCTCTAGATTCTCATTGAATGACTTCTCCACATTCTCCCCTTTAGGCTCCTGAGAATGGCAGTGTGCTGTCCTTAGCTCGGCCACACCCAGCCTGTAGACTGACCTTAGGGTTAGGGTGTGTGTGTGTGATCTGTTTTGGGGAGTGTGAATAAAACAGCAATTCCTTTAGTTGAGGGTTATATGCAGGGCATTTTCCTTAGAAGGGACTCAAAATATGATGAAAATCATAACTTCCAATAAAGTTATGTTCGTTTATCTAGAGAGTGACATGATATCTAGCAGTTAGTACCTTGCCCAAAGTTATATCTGGAATGCCCCATCTACATTATTTACAAAGATAAATTTGAATCAAAATATTTATTTTACACATGGTGAATTACGTCATCATTATTTTACAGTTTAAAATTACTCACCCCGAGAGTGAAGACCTTGCCTTTCTATATGGAACCATATTAACAGATGGGAAAGATGCTTATGATGAGGAACCAACCACCAACATCTGTGTGTTTGCTGATGAACAGGTATTGAAACTGTAATTGCTTACAGACGCCTGGGACTGTGAAACTAGAATGCCCTGAATGTTCTTGTCATCGTTTCTTCTGACACAGGTTGACAGAAGCCCCACCGGCTCAGGAGTGACAGCCCGTATTGCGTTGCAGTATCATAAAGGCCTCGTAGGCCTGAACCAGCCCAGGGCCTTTAAAAGCAGTGCGACGGGCTCCGTGTTCACAGGCAGTGCCGTGAGGGTGAGCGCCACCGCCGATTCCTGGGTGGAAACGGGTTACTCATGTGACCGAGAGGCCTGAGTGCTGGATACATCTCTTCACTCAGCTCTCGGAAGAGAACTGTAAAGCAGGTTGTAAAAACCTTCCATTCAGCTGGGTCTTGGACCCCTGGGCATCCCCACCATGCTTTACATGGGTCTACACGATAAAAACTGTGTTAATAACAATGCGAAGGCGCTCTTTGCTATTCACCCATTCTCTCAAGAGGGTTCAGTGGGATTCAGAGGCCACAAGGTATGTGGGTGACATTTCCAGTTGAATACAGCAGCAGACCTCAGAATCCAGCTGTCTTCCATAACCCAGACATGCAAGAGCCTTGCAATACCAGTAGCACTTTTCTCATTATTTTTGCAAATAAAGGTATTTTCACAAAAAATGTGTTTTCACTTAATATGTAATAGGCTTATTATTTTAATGAAGTAAATATGTAATTCACAGTACAGTAAATATTAATAAAACATATATAAGGAGGACTCTTAGGGCACCCTCAAGTTTTAAGGTATAAAGGGGTCCTGAGAGTAAATGGTTTGAGAACCATTACATTAGTTTGGAGGTTTTTGTTGTTGTTTTTTAAAATTCTATAAGAGCATTTCATTTTATATAATAGGATGTAAAGCTATGGAGAGTTGAAGAAAGTGGAATTTTTGTGATGGAGTCAAATTTTAAATTTCTAACTGAGCTAATTAATAAATCTCCTAGTGGTAAATGAGATTTACAGTGATTAATCTACCTTGAGTAAATTAACCTACTCATAAAGAGTTCTTTAACACAGCAGACAGTCTGTCCTGACACACATGTTTGTAAGTCTCCCTCCCTCCTCCTCTCCCTCTCTCTCCATCGCTCCCTCCCTCCCTTCCTTCTTTCCTTCTTCCCTTCCTGTTTCCCACGTGCTGCCCCTCATATTTCCCATCATGGTTAAGATGGCATCACCATCAATGCTTCCAAGCTTATGGTCATATTTAACTCATTCCTAATTCTTTACTTACTACATTCATTGGTCAACAGGCCAAGTCTCTCTGTAATACATTCGCCTCCACCTTCACTGAAAACTCCCTAGTGACTCCAGGTTTACTCAGTGAATCAATGTTTTCTCTTAACAAGTTTCTGGGCTGCTAGTATTTTTTTTCCCTACTCCAGTGTGTCTCACACTTTACAGCTAAATTTATCTAAAACACAAATTTGGCTATGTTACTCTCCTTAAAATCCTGTCATTTCCCTTGCCTGTAGAATTAACCCTTGGGTTTTTCTTAGCATGAACAGTCAAGAGCATAACGTGTACGTCAGATACAACATGTGTGCAATATTTTGTTCTTTTCATCTTCTTTTCACAGGAAGCAAAATGTGGTGATTTCAAAGCTGTTATAGTGGAGGTATCGGGACAAGCCCATTACACAGGTACAGCAAGCTTTACAGTAGAAGATGACGACCCACTGAAAGATGGGTTTCTTCTCAAGTGACCTCCAGGATGCTTAAAAGCTTTCCTTCTAAAGTATCCATAAGTAGTGCTTTCTCTACATTATGTAAAAACCAATATCCAATTAGTCATGTAAGCTAATTTCCATTCTTTTAAAAATAGTATACCATGGCTAGATAGTCATTATACCTCATATTTGCTGATATATATTTTGGTACAAATATCACTTAAGTCTAGCATATAAAGTGCCAAAAGTTCAGAAAAATTTTTTAGTTATTAACATACCAAGTAAAATTAAAATCCTTTAAAACATTACTCTATGGTAATGACTATAATATTTTGTTTTGAAGGTTCTTTGAATAGTATCTGAAATTGTAGCCATCTCAATAATGAACTTTACAAGTTCATTATTTTAGAATTCTATTTTGAGAAAAATAATGCCCTCTACAAGCAGCACATAAAGGAGATGGATGAAAAGATACTCAACACTTATCATAAATAGCTGAAGAGGAATGGGTGGAGCAAGCTGCTTTCCATAGGTATCACTACAGGAGCTGCAGGTCTCCTGTGTGCTTCAGTGCCAACCTCCTGCACCCACAGGTACTGAAGATCCATAAACTGATTCTGCAAAGACAAACCAGTAATCAGATTTTTGCTATCTCTTTAAGGCTTTTTGCGAGGGTTTGGGGAAGGAACAAACTCAGAGCCTCATGAATGCTAACATATGCTGTACCTCCAGCCTCTTTAAGACTCTCAAAAAAAGATTGCTTACTACATTACTGAAATCCAGGTACATGGTAGAAATTCATGAATCACTTACAAGGGAATGAATCATACTCTTCAGCTGCTTGCTAGATGGATTTAAAACATGAAAGAAATGCTCATTTTAGCACTCTCACTAGTTAAAATTTATCTGTGAACCTTGATCACTGTCAGTTATCACAAACCGAAGCTCTTAGTAGATTCTTAGTGAAGTAGGTAATAGTACCTTACTTCTGAACATGCAAAGAAAGAAATTCATTGTAACTGGCTTTGTCACCAGCAAGTCAGCATTCACCCAGTTACTAGGTCTGTGGTTTAATAACCTGACCAAAAGAAAAACTATAAAGTTAATGTTTCGATTTTCCTTTTACTCAAAAAATGTCATGCTGATTTTTGCGCAATCTTTATAAAATTCTGTGACAACAAAGTTATTTACCTCCAAGGAATGACAGTATCACAAATTCAGTGTAACCAAGTAATTTTCTACAGATTCTCTCCAAATCTCAGTACATTTGAAAAAAATATTGTTCATAAGTTCGATTTTGTAGTATTTTATAATGTGCTATTTGCATAGTCTCTGCTTTAATGAAGTACACCATGAAGTCATGCGATGGTCGATTGTGTCAATGTGAGTAAGAGAAGCTCAACTAAACTGGCTCAGCAATTCCACACCCTGGGGTGAGGAAGACCCACCCCAGGGCAACTTGTCACCCGATGGTATAAAGGGGAAAAGAAGGGTGCATCTGCTTCTGTTTCTTCAGAGGACCTCTAGGCTTCAACTTGGATGTCATCTGGCTTCCAGCACAGACTCGAGCTTCTGGCGTAGACTTCAGATCCTTCAGCTTTCCAGGGTAGACTCTTCAGGCTTCCATGGCAGACCCATCAGCCTCCTGATAGCAGACTCACGTGGAACACTGCAGTGAGCTCCAGGCCTTTGACTGGATCCTTCAGATCTCCAGTGTGCAGACAGACCCTCTGCAGTCTTCCTCATCCGACTCTGTGGGTGGCCATTGTAAGCCAATCTTGTAAATTCATATATATTTGTGTACATAGTATTGTATGTTTCTCTAGTAAACACTGACTGACAATGTATGTTAGTATCCCATAGCTACCTAGACAGGGGAGTTTTATCCCTGATGTTGTGTAGAATTGTCACTTCTTGATGATAAAAACAAGCAGATGTGCACCTCAGATCAACCTCACTGGAGCAGGCCCTGCCCTCTGACTCACCTGTGTTGTGTCACTATCTGTGTTCCATTGTACAGGTGTGGGAGATGCAGGCCAGACATGTTAAGTAACTGCTTACCAAGGCCCTTCTGGAGGCTGTTATGCAACTCCATTGTTTCCTAGTACACTTCCTCCACCTCTAAGATAGGACAGCCAGAACTTGTTTCATGAAGATATATTTTTCTTGACCATTAAAAGATACTTATTACCTAAGTCTTCCTGAATTCTGCTGGACTCCTAAGCTTTGCCATACAGTGACTACGACTTTGTACTTTGCCCTGTCTCCCTTAGAGTGAATACCCTAGGGAGGTGAGCCTCTCACCTCACATGTCTGGGTGGTCGTACAGTCACACAGCCCTGTTGGTTCCACCTCCTAGACCAGGGATGGCGAACCTTTCAGAGACCGAGTGCCCACACTGCAACCCAAAACCCACTTATCACAAAGTGCTGACACTGCAATTAACCCTGAATATCCGATGCTCAGTTGCTGGGGCAGTTTGGCTCGGTGCCAACAGAGGGGCTCTGCGCGCCTGCTGCAGCGTGTGTGCCATAGCTTCACCACCAGTCCTGGACATTGCTCCCCTTGACGTGCCCATCTCAACAAGGGCCTCACTTCATCAGCTGAGTTATATAAGTTTCTCTGACCCCTTTCCCCTCACTAGTTTCTTCCCCTGAGTATTTAAACCTGTTCAGCACAAACAATGAAACAATCATCCCTTGTCCCTCCTCTAGCTTGCTGTCACCTTAAGCTCTTCCCCTGGTATTCCAGCTTCCAGACATCTCACTGCTCACCGGCTGCATTTCCTCACCCTCCATTTACTCTTTAGCAGCTATAGGCTGGGTTCTTCTCATTCCATGATACAAACTGCTTGGCCTAAATGTCAGACCTGATTTCACCGTGGGGTTTATGGAACCCCGTTGGGTGCTGCTGTATGCTCCTTGCAGGCAAGTGTGTAGATTAGAGCACCCCTTGGTGCTGTGCTCACCCACAGAGCTGCTCAGTGTGTCGCCTAGGGCCATTAGGTGGAGCCTTAGAATGGCACAGTCCCCCTTCACATCCACTTGACACTGCAGTTGTATGAAGCTTGGTCCAGCTCCCCTTCATCGTGAACTTCTCTTCAAAAGCCACAGGTCCACACCATCCCTTGGTGCTGTTGCTCACACATCAACATGTGTGTGAATCACCTGGGAATCTGAAACAGCAGATTTCTCATTCATGAGGCCTGAGGTGGGCCGTGTCTAACAAGTTCCAGGTAACGCTAAAGCTGCTAATAGGGGAACTGCACTTCGAGGAGCAGAACGTTTTGATAACTCTTTTCCTTGTCTGTTTTGGCCAGGGTTTTTTCAGATGAGTCTCCCTACAAGGCAACTTCTCTTAGCTCTGAAATACTGTACACGAAAAGCCTGTTTTTCAGCTCAAGGATAGAGCTGAACCAAGCCACTTGCAGACTGACAAGAGACTGAGGAAATCACCTCACCCTCTTCTGAAAACAAAAACACAATGAGACAGCTGATTTCTCAGACCAAAGTGCCTAATTGCTGTCACTCACCCACCTTTCTTTGCTTCCTTTAACTGTTTAACTTTCTCTGCTCCCTAGGCTTTGTGTCCATGGTTTTCTTTACTCATATCCTGTGCCTAAGTTGTCCAAGGCTTTCTGTCTCATAAAGAGGCTGACAACCCCTGACTCTAAGTCCTGGGGTCCAGAGCCACAGTGCAGATTCACCACTTACAGGGACAAACTACATTCATCCCCCAAGAAGGTGCCCTCCTCCCAAATCCCCTGACTTGGTCATTGGCACTTCCCTTCTAGGCCACCAGCACTGAGGAAGCTGGGGTTTATCCCTGGTTCTTAGACACAAGCTCTGCCCTTTGTGCTAGTGCTCAGGACCAGACATCGAAGATGTGGCCCACATTCCTTTGTCTTTCAATGAAGCACACCTTCCTTTCCTTTGGGAAACTGTCCTTCCCCAACAAGTGGTCTTGCCGGGACTGCAGGAAGCTGACACATCAGTCAGAGCCTCTCTGCAGGACCTGAGGCTGAGATGGCATGGTTTGAAAACAGACTGAAGCCGGAAGGTGATGGTGCTGGGAGAAAGTCACCTGTTTTGTCTTTCTCTACCTACCCAGACTTCTCTTGTTTTAGGGGCTGACTGTCAGACTGAAGTGCAATTTGAACGTGCCCTATCCTTTCAGTGATGTCCTCGTTTGCTTCTGGAAGCCAGTGTCCTCCCTGTGAGCATGTCTTCTTTCCTGTAAATGCTGACTTCGGCTCTCTTTTCCCACCTGGGCTACGGCACTGCCTTTCCTTCTGGACTATTTTCCTAAAGTCACTCAAAACACTTAGCAGCCTGCGAAGTGCTAAGTACCGGCTACTTAATACAAAGCCAAATGAAGGGAGGCAGTAATCCTTGGGCAATCACAAAAATGTAACTATAGGCAGTGGTTATATGCTGCAAGTGGAAAGTACAGAGCGCTGTGACATTAACCAAGGAATAGGACACGCTGGGGGTAGGAGATGGCAGTTAGGTAAGACGCTCCTGAGGGATAAATCTTTATGTGGCGAGAGCATGAGAGAGTTGGAGGGTGGGAGCTTTCTAGCTGAGGGAATGGCAGTTATAAACACCCAGATGAGGGATCTAGGAACTCAAAGAGGCCAGTGTGACTAAAAACTAAAAGAGCATTTGGCCTGCAGTGTGAAAAGAGGAATGGAGTGATCCAGACCACTTAGGAGGTGACGGCAGTAGTCCAAAGAAGAGAGAAAGAGCTAAGATTCAGGTGGCTGGCAGGACAGAGTGAGGGAGGAAGCAAATGCACACAAAGATATTCAGCAAGTAAAATCCCCGGGTCCTGCAGATGGATCAGATGAAGGCTGAAGTTGAGGAGGGATTCATCAAAGAATCCTGGTTTTTTATTGTAAGCTTGATGGATAATGGCGCCATCTTCTGATACAGAACATTAAGGAGCATGGTTTTCAAGGGAAGTGGGAGGAGGTCTGGAACTCCCATTTGAATGTCGATTGAGGTGCGTCTGCACATCCAGGAAGACACCACGCAGCGAGATATGTGGGCTAGATCCGGAGATCAGGGCCCTCCATTGTGAACCATGCCCTTTCTCCCTCAACGCAGCTCAATCCCAGTAGCACGGGAGACAGGCTCTTTTTTTTTTTTAATAAAGGGGCCCCAGTAAAGTTCCACTACTTATCTCTTCACTCCCACCCCCTGTATCTTAAGGTTCAGACACTGCTCATCTTACACATGCATTGTATGTCCTTCCCCTATTCATTGTCTTTTGGGGAGGGAGAATCCAATGTCACCTCTCCATCTGCTACCCTAAGAAGCACTACCTCCATAGAATTCCACTCCTGTGTTTTTAACACTTAGCGACATTTGTTTTTCCCTGAGACTATAGGCTTCTTTGGGTAAAGAATTCTTAAGTGTTTTTTCTTAAAACTAAGCATAATGTTGGATGATTGTGTTTGCCAAGTAAATGAATCTCTAATAATTCTATTTTTGTCCTGATTGACTCTCAGCTGTACTTGACTTCCCTTAAGGGAAATTTGGCCATTTCTACACCAGACATGTTTAGTTGTCACAACTGGGAGAAGTGCTGTTGGCATCTGGATGCTGCTCAGTATCCTAATGCCAAGGACAGGCCCACCACCAAGAACTGTTTGGCCCAAAATGTCGTGATGTTGTGGCTGTGAAATCCAGTCTTAGTTCACCATCTTAAAAGTACTTCTATTCAGACTCTGAGTTTCATGGGATATTCCACTTCACTGATACCAGCATTCAAAGCTCTAACAGCACTGATCCAAAGATCCACAAGTGTGCTAGTCACTCCTTTCTGCCCAGCTCCCGTCCCCACTGAGCTACAGCCCCAGCCTTTTTCATATTTTAAAATTTTGAGACAGTCTCTCTAAGTTGTCCAGGCTGGGCTCAAGCTTGTGATCCTCCTGCCTCAGCCTCTGCTGGGATTATAGCTATGTGCCACCATGCCCAGCGGGTAGCCGTTCTTTGGATCAGTCTTTCCAAAACTTGACTGTGCATCAGGATCAGCTGGAGGGTTTGTTAAATGCAGGTGGCTGGATAGGTGCCCCGCCCATCAGATTCAGTGGGTGGGGCCTGGAGTTTGCATTCTGAGTGCTGGAAACTTGTTTAGTCATCATAATCCTGCTGGTGCAGGACCCAGGCTTTGCAAAGTACTGCTTCAGAGAAGAGGCCAGGGGTAACTTGAAGGTAGGGTCACACTTTCCCCCTTCCCAGCACCTTGTGGTGCAATTTACAGGCAGCCACCCCTTTTCGCTTCCTGTAACGGCCCGGTCAGGGTCGGCTGTATCTCAGGTGACGCCCTGGCTGACAGGACCTCCACAGTCCAGAGCTCGGATGAAGGGCGCCAGCAAGGCACAGATCCCGTTCTTTTCCAGGAATTAGCCAGTTACAGGCCTAAGCTCCCGGACGAGTCTTCCGTCCAACATGGATATTCTAGCTCCTCAGAGACCCTGCCTGAGAATCAAGCCGGCTTAAAGAGCCAACCTCAGGAATACTGGGAGTCGGCCGGGGAGGCTGTATTTCAAGGAGCTCACTATCTCGGTGTCTCCAGGTGTGGTCCCTAGGCCAACCTCACCACTATACACGTGCAGATCTTGGGCACTACCCCAGACCAACAGCGTCCGAAAGGGACCGAGGCCCTCTAGGTGATTCTGTGGGTCTCTCAAGTTTAAGAATGACTGTTTAAATTATTCTGCTCCGGATGGGGACTGTTTTTCACTTAAAATTCTAAATTCCTGCCATAAACACCCACCGGGAGCAAAGGCCGCCGAAGGCCACCTGTGTCCAGCAGAACCTTGTTGAGTGTGCTCACTGGCATGCGGGCAAGCACTGCAGACCGACAGCGCCTCGGTGACCTCGGGGAGCGGCGGCTGCGGGGACCAGCTTTCCGAGGTACCGGGCCGGCGGCCCGCCCCGCGCTCCTGCGTAAACACGCGGTTCCCCCGGCAACGCCAGGAACCCACGTCAAAGGCTCCGCCGGGTCCGGGGCGAGCGCAGGCCACCCCTCCTCCGGCCGGCCAGCCCGACGCCCCGCGACCCGCGGAGCGGCCGTGCCGGGTGCGGGATGAGCAGGCCCGACCATGGCCTCGCCGCGCCCCGGCGCCCCCTCCGCGCCCGGCGGGACGGCCCTCGCGCTCTCGCTCAGCTCCGTGGCGACCGCGGCGCTGGGGAACCGGAGCGAGGCGAGCGGTGGCGGCGGCGGCGGCGGGGCCCTGGGTGGGCCTGGGGCGGGGGCGAGGCCGGCGCTGGGCTCCGAGGCGGCGCCGCTGCTGGCGCGCAGGGCGGCGGTGGCGGCGCAGGCGCTTGTGCTGCTGCTCATCTTCCTGCTGTCTAGCCTGGGAAACTGCGCCGTGGTGGGGGTGATCGTCAAGCACCGGCCGCTGCGCACGGTCACCAATGCCTTCATCCTGTCGCTGTCGCTGTCGGACCTGCTCACTGCGCTGCTCTGCCTGCCCGCCGCCTTCCTGGACCTGCTGGCGCCGCCCCGGGGCCCGGGGCCCTGGCGCAGCTTCTGCACCGCCAGCCGCTTCTTCAGCTCGTGCTGCGGCATCGTGTCGTCGCTCAGCGTGGCGCTCATCTCGCTCGACCGCTACTGCGCCATCGTGCGGCCGCCTCGCGACAAGCTGGGCCGCCGCTGCGCGCTGCAGTTGCTGGCCAGCACCTGGCTGGTGGCGCTCGGCTTCTCACTGCCCTGGGAGCTGCTGCTCCGAGCGCCCCGCGAGCCCCCAGCCGCCGCCGCGCAGAGCTTCCACGGCTGCCTCTACCGCACCTCCCCCGACCCTGCGCAGCTGGGTGCGGCCTACAGCGTGGGGCTGGTGGTGGCCTGCTACCTGCTGCCCTTCCTGCTCATGTGCTTCTGCCACTACCAGATCTGCAGGGCTGTGCGCCTGTCCGACGTGCGCGTGCGGCCCGTGACCACCCACGCGCGCGTGCTGCGCTTCTTCAGCGAGGTGCGCACCGCCACCACAGTGCTCATCATGATCGTCTTCGTCATCGGCTGCTGGGGCCCCTACTGCTTCCTGGTGCTGCTGGCCGCCACCCGGCAAGCGCAGGCCGCGCGGGCCCCCTCGCTGCTTGACGTGGTGGCCGTGTGGCTGACCTGGGCCAATGGGGCCATCAACCCGGTCATCTATGCGGTCCGCAACCCCAACATTTCTATGCTCCTGGGGCGCAGCCGCGAGGAGGGGTACCGGACTAGGAACGTGGGCGCCTTCCTGCGCAGCCGGGGCCCGGCTCTCCAGGCTGGGAGCCGCAGTCGCCTTCGGAACCGTTATGCCCGCCGGGTTCGGGCCCGCAGCAGGAGGTCCTGTTCCACCCTGGCCAGCGGGGCGGGAGGGGACCTGGCCATGTGGGCCCGCAAAAATCCAGTTGTGCTTTTCTGCCGGGAGGGACCACTGGAGCCTGTGACAGCAGTGACCAAACAGCCTAAATCCGAAGCCCGGGATACCAGCCTCTGACGGCCAGGACGGACAGCTTCGGAAGACACACGGCCACCTCCTTCCTTCAGTGGTACAGGATTCTGCGGAGACGCGTGGATTTCACAAAGCCAAACAACAAAACGACGGAGACAAGGGGGAGGGTTACCACTTCCTCCAAACAACGTAAAAGACAATGTCCTCTTCTTCAAAAGTGCCAAAAGGAATGTAAAATGCAAAAATTAAAACAAATCTTAACACACAACCAAGCATTGTGAATTGTAAGTGCCAAAACCCAAAACTCACAATCACTGAGAAGCTCTTATTACAGGAATCACACTGTGAAACAAACAAATCACTGAATGCAATCAGTGTGTGTTCAAACAGAGTTTCGGGAATGGATTTCCTCGCAGCTGCTGGAAAGCCCCTCCGAATCACCAGCACTCCACAAAACGTCAGCTTCCACAACTGCACCTCTGACATAGGCTTCCGGTGCTTAGGTTTGGGAGCAGAAAATTTCTATTCTTACCTAAATTGGCGCACTTCTCCCACAAGTGTGTAATTTTTGTGGGAACTTTTAAATTCAGATCCTATTTTAAACCATTTTAGGATTTTTGAATGGATGGTTTATTACTAGATAAAATACAGCTATCTGAAGGACAAATAAGAAATAGGGCTGTTTTCAAAAAGTACTTGAAGGGTGGGAGTGTAGCTCAGTGCTAGAGTGCTTGCCTAGTTGAGCCCAGGTCCCTGTGGCTGGTCCTCAACATTACAGGAAAAAAGAATAAAAGGTAAAGTATTCCAAGATTATACAGAAAAATTAATGTCCTTTCTACCCCTACCCCTCAGGATCTTGGAGGTTTTATTCTTCCTCTAAACTATTGCTCTTGTTTCTGCTGACTTTTAGGATGCCACTGTCAGAATGCTTTCCCATTAAAAACTTTTCTCTTCATAATAGAAAAATCTTTTTCTTTTGTAGTAAATTTGATGTTTTCATCAAACTAATTTGAAGTCAAACTGATTGAATAAGGTGAATATCCTATAAAGTAACAAGATTGGCATCCTGTGTGGCTTTTTAACTAACTGAAGGTGATTCCAAAGAGCAAGTCTAAGAATAGTTGGACAGGGGGCCACATTCTTGGAATAGCCTTAGCACCTTCTCAGATTCACATTCTCCCACATTTGGAAGTTTGGGTATTTTTAATAGCCAATTGCTGTTTTATGGTTATGACTTGTATAAAATACTCTAGTCTTCCTTAGAAAGGGAGTGTAGGTGGTGGATTAGTATATGGAATAAGGTATTTAAAACATAGGCTTAAGGTTGGAGAAGTTTCAAGCAAACTGAAAATATCTGCAGAAATGTGCAAAACAAAGATGTTTTTATAGTGATTTAAAAGTGCAATTGAGGACTTGTGAATATGAAATTTCTCACATTGAATGCCACTGTACACTGAATTACTCAGAATTTGAAAGATGGTGTTCGGTTTATTCCCTCTGTCTTTCCTTCCATCCTGCTCCTCTTTTCTTCAGTATTTCATGGCCTTAACCAAGTGAGTCCTTTAAATTAGTTATGAAAAGACATTGCCTATCATATAAAGATTTCAATGTGAAATAACCAGCATTTTTTTTCTTGTAAGGTATTTAAGGGTCTTTGTCAGTATTTAAGTTTTTGTGTGACATGTGGGTATATGTTACTATTTTGTAATCAAGGCTGGAAATACATGATTCCTGTCAGAGCAAAATATGTTTTAATTTTCTGCTTTTTTTGGTTTCATCACCATCAGAACTTTGTAAGTTGTCTGTAACCTTTGGCACACTCAACGTAGTTCAAAGTAGATGAGATAATCTCTCTTCTCTAGCAGTTATTATTGTAAAACATACAGACTTTGTGCAGCTGTACCAACATTTAACAGAAATATGCAGTATTTGCTTGTTGAATGAAAAGAAAAAAATGTATTTGGGACACTGTAAAAAATTGATTGTGGGATTTAGGGAGAAATGGTGAAGTCTTCTAGTTATGGAACAGACAATAGAATAGGAATTCAGCAGTTGTAAACAGAGGGCAGAAAGAGAGTGAGGGTCTGGGAGGAAGGCGGCACGCATGTTGCAGCACAGAGCACTGTCCTGGAAGAGCTGGGAGAAGGCATTGGAAAGTAAGATGTGATGTGGAATAAACTTGCCCCGTGAGTGAAGGGGGACGCTGAGTGATTAGAAGTGACAAGGCAATGGTATTGAGAACTTTAAGAAAGAAAAGCAATTCCCCCTTCCGTGGAAGGAGGTTTCAGAAAAGAAATGGCTTAGGGAAGAGACTATTCTTTAGCAGCTGTAAGAATCGAGGTTGACAGTAATGAGAAGGGAAAGAGAGAAAGTTCCAGTAAGTTCCTGAACAATTTATGATGTGCTCTGTGCATGTGTGTGGGTATGCGTGCATACATGGGCATGTGCTTATTGTTAAATTTGAGATTATAAAACTATTCAGTGGTAGAATTAGGACTTGCACTGCAGTCTGTCTGGCTCAAGAGCCCCATGTTCCCTTCTCTATCTGTGCCCCTCAAAAGTCTATGGGCAGAGAAACCTAGATGAGAAGGTATGAAACCATCATCATCATTAACGGCTATTTTTGTTTTCTATCCTGTGAAAGGCAGTTTCACAAAACTATTAAGTGGCAGAAGCCACAGTTTCTGCAAGGAGCTTACAACCTAGTTGAGGGCCTTGTGCTGTATAATAATTATCCATAACCAGAACTCTGATTCAGTGGTGGGGAAGAAATGGTAGGGCATTTTTCAAAAAAGATTATTAGAGAAAGGAGATGAATCTGGAAGCAAAATGATATGCAGATGAAGGTCAGCAACCTATCTGCTTCTATGTAAATACTTAGAAATCAATGTCTTGAGTAAAAAGATAATGACACTCAAATAAATCTGAGACTTAGACCTTCCCTCATCCTTACAATGAAAGTGTGATTATATGACTTAATGAGACAAAGGAAAAGAGAAACCAGAAATATTTGGATTAAATATCAATGTAAAGGTCAGAATACAATTCCTCATATCTCCTTTTGCTCCCAGTTTGAGTGTTTCATTTGGGTTCCAGCAATAAAAGCAACAAGTAGTGTTCAGTGTAGGATGTACATGAGCCCACTAATCTTCAGAGCAACTTTATGAAGGGAGACTGTTATTAAGCTTCTTCCAGTTTTACAGATTAAAAAAACCAAGGCAGAGAGGTACTATGTGCTTCACCTAAGGTCACACAGCTAATGAGTGCCAGTCATAAGATTTTTTACCTGGCAGATAGTTGCATGAAGTCCTCTCTTAACCACTACACAATACTGCCTGTCTCATTTGATAAGAAACCTGGAAAAGAACCAGAGAAGACAGGCAACTAAGCAATGGGAAAATACTTATCATAAAATTTTAATTCAGAGAACAGGCATATAGGATGTGTGTATTTTAATATATAAAGATGTTCTGAGTAGTTATTTTCTGGAAAATCCCAACCCTTTGGATGATGACCACAATCATCCATCTTCTGTGTCTTCTGCCTTTTCTGCTCCAGGGCAGCTGAACAGTTGGAGGAAAATTATAATCACATCAATTAGTACTCCCTGTACCTAGAACCCATAGCTTAGTCTGGCTCTTTCACTACACTCAGCAACCTGAACCTTTTCCCTTTTCCCTTCCCACTTTTGTGATCTTTCAACATTCTCAAAGAGTTAACTAACCCTATTATCACGGAAGATGGCCTTTGCTTGTGCTTTGTAAAATAGATATATCTTCATATTTTAGTCATCAAACCTAAGAAACTAACCTCAACTTATACCAGTTCTCAGTTCTATCTTTCCAAGTACAGTAAAATGCCTGGGTCCCTTTTCTAGCCTCAGGGATCTTGTGATAACAATTGTCTGCTCTCCCTGGTTTCCTTACCCTTCCTGTAAGACCGGGGGCCTTACCAAATGTTCCGAGGAGCTGACTGTAGTGAAGCACACCCAGGGATCCCAGCGGTGCCTCCAGAATGTAAGACCGAGGGCCTTACCAAACGCTCCGAGGAGCTGACTGCAGTGAAGAACACCCGGGAAGGAACACACTGGACAAGTTGGAAAGTAAAACAGATCTTTATTAGTCTGGCCAGACGGCACTCCCAAAGCAAAATAGCTTAGAGAGGCAGCTGGCTCAGAGTCCGAGGCTGTTCTTATAGGGGGTTGAGGGGGAAGTTAACATATAGAATTAAAGAAAAGGGGACAAGGGTTAATGGTCGACTGTCACGTATTGATGGTCAGCAGACATTTGCAGGTTGTTCTAAAAATTGTGGTGCCCGGAACATCACTTCCGGGCAAACAAGGAGTTGAGTAGTTTACTTTGGGACTTTAGGTCTGTTACAGATTTTTATCTAGTGTCCCAAAACTAACAAGCATCTTTATCCATTAACTCACATTTAATCACAATGGGGCTGGAGAAAAGGAACAAAGGTTATGCAGTCCCACATTCCTGCTGAGACAAATTCCTCTCATTTCTTGCCCCCTCCCCACTTTTCTCTCCCTCACCTCCTTCCCTTCAGCCAAATTCATCCAAACAACTGACTGTATTTGTCAGCTGATCTAAGTCCTAATTCACATTTTGGGAGCACAAGAAAAGCATTACTTGTCTACAACTCAGTTATTCCCTACTTCTGCCAAGTGGAAAAAATTTGAAGATGGCAGCACATGGGCTTATTTAGTACCAGGGTATGCTGAACACTGGTTCGCAGCAATCATCTACCCACACCAGCATCCCCTAGTCTGTCCTCAGCTTTGCATCCACAGCTTTCTGCACAGTTGCCCTTCACTGGAAACCATGAAGACCCAGCTCCAACCCACTGGAGAGCTCCTCTCTGGAATCAAAAGGATCACCCTTTCACTGTGGCACCACAGATGGCAGCAGCCACACTCATGAGGCTACTTTTTAAAAATTAAACTATTTTTGATTACTTGATACAATTTATATTTGGATCAACAAGCCAAAATGGTATGTTAACCATACATTAAGAATTCCCATTCTGGAATGGGCCTGAGGAGCTCTATGGACCTGATCCCCAAGGAAACCAGTATAACTGATAAAAACTATTTTGAAACTAAAGTTTGCAATCTCTTGAGTTTGACAAGATTCACAGAAAGTGAATGAATATTGATTCAAGCAAATCTGCTACAGTCAGGAATAGCAGTAAATGTCTGGCATTTGGATTATATTCCATTCTCTTCCCACTCCCAGCTCTCATGGCAGAAAGTCCACTGCAGGTGGATACAGCTGAGAGCATAGGGACTGCTGCCCCCAGCTCTCAAACACAGACTGTGATAATTTCCCTGCAAGGCAAGGTCCTGAGAAGTCACCTCTCTGGCTACAAGTTGAAGATGCTAAAGTCTAGTATATCTGAGAAATTAGAAGTTCTTTATTTCCATCCATCTAGTCCTACACATAGGGCAGATGCTTTACTTCAGTTGTGCTATGCTGAGAAGGCTGGGGCTGTGGTTGTCCTCAACCCAGTTAACTTGGAGGTCTAAGGCTGTATACCAGGACAGGCACTGAGAAAATCAGACTACCACCCCTACCCAGTGCCTGCTCTTAAAGAAAAATCTCCACTCCAAGAAAGGAAGGCCATTGTCTCTGCCCCTGGCATCAGAGCTGTGGCTCAGGGAACTTGTCCAGTAGTAGAGACTGGCCTTCAAACAGACAGACTGATGCTTTCTCCAAAAGAACTAACTTTATTTGAAGCAGAATATGGAGAAGTTCAAGCCTAAGAGAATTGCCAA